TCTCAGGTACTTCAACGGTCCCGTCTTATCTCCCCATATTGCGGTATGTCTCCAGTCGTTACTGATTTCTGGTATAGTAGCTCAACTCTGTTATATGAACCACTCCGTAAAAGGATGCATATCCTGCCCGAGCTCAACTGCTGTAATAAGGGGGAAAAATGGCAAAAAAAAATAAATGAAAATTTTCGGAAAGCGAAATTTTGATCATTGGAGTTTCACCCGTGATATGAAAAACACTAGTGAAAACCTAAAACGCTGTCGCTGTTTTACGCGAAATTTTGCGGGATTTTTGCGACTCAATTCGTGAAGTGATTTCAATTCACTTCATATTGTGAATATCTCGTTTTTGAGATGGAGTATTGCGTCCCCTCACAAACAGAACGGGTGAAATTTTTACGGAAATTTTTACGGAAATTTTACTAAATTTTTGGCTTTTCGTGATGGTATGTTGGCAGAGATTAAATTATCCAAAAGTAGAAATGTCGGAAAAAGGGAGGATTTCGGGAAAGAAATTGATTTGGGTCCAATTTTTGGTATAAAATTACCGTCTCAAATAAGGGAATTATTTTTTGATTTTTTTCGAATTTTTCATTGAATCTTTCCGAAAATTTCTCCAATTAGTTCGCGATTGATACCAATTTGTTGACATGATCCGTATCTTTGAGTATCGAACCTAAGATTCTCTCGCAGACCCCCTTCCAAGCGGCGTTGATTACCTGTATTATATCTAACATGGGCGAAGCTCCTACTACTTCCCTGGCCGTCCAAAGCGCCCTGCTTTCCTTCATGTTGAGCTCTGTCTTGTACGGAATTTTTCGCGCACTTTCTGCAGGACGATTATATGGAATTTGGTCAGATTTGGTTTGTCTTTGCTACTTGTGGTGATGGTTTGCAAAAGGGAGTATCTCGAAACGTTTAAAACGGCTTTTCCCCAGGTAATAGTTCCGAAAAATTTTACCGCGCGCCACGAAATTATTTCTTCCTTTGAATGGTTCTCAGTAAAATCATTATGACCATTGATCACAATTTCCCGGAAAATTTTACCGCGCGCTACGAAATTATTCCCTTTGATGGTATCGTGGTATATTGCTGAAAATTAATTTCAGAATGGATCACAATTTCCCGGAAAATTTTACCGCGCGCCACGAAATTATTATTATTTTTTTCAGCCTGTAATTTACGGTTTCTTTGTCGCTGTGGGTTTGGCTATGATTGAGAGCTCCTTGAAGGTGGTTGTTGGAGAGGATATATTACAAGCTTGTTGGACCAACAGGTATGAGTTTTTTCCCGAGTGGAAATTTTTTTCCGGAAAAAATTTTTTTTTCAGGATAGCTTTTGCCCAGTGTCTGACGTCAATCGGTTTTGGATTATTAAACCGATTTGGGTCGCGATATTTACGACACTATTTGGCGCTTCCGGGGTTGCTGCTGAGTAAGGTGGGAGGGCAAACCAAATCGATCACGTGATCGATTTGGTTTTCGATCTCAAATATTTGTAAGGATCGCGGGTTCGGACTTTTTCGCGCGATTTTCCGGATGGTATTTTTCTCGAGAAATATTTGGAATGTCCAAAATTACGGTATGCGGCATTTTATTTTTTACTCAGCGGAGATTGCTGTTGTTTACGTTTGCCTGGCAGCGTGTGGTATGAGCGTTGAGGAAGCTCGAGAGGAGGTAAGATTGCAAGATTTGATTATCCCTATATTGGTACTCAGGGATGGCTGTTTGATTCGGTAGCTATCGGACCTGTTTTGAATCTTCCGTCGAACTACATGGCGCATCCGTTGGCTGAGGTGTGGTCGTTGGTGACGGCTAAGGTTTGGAGTGTAATGGTGTCATGTTTTGGGCCTATTTTGAATCTTCTTGTGGGGAACCTTAGATACTCGCGTCGATGATTGTGGTACTTTGGGTTGATCTTGCTGCAGGGACGGTGGTAAGTTGAGAGAAATATTCTGTAGGCCTATACAGTGTTGGAGTAGGAATATACGTAATCGCTTTCCTCACCTGCTGAGCTCAGAAGAGTTTCCTATACAGTGTTGGAGTAGGAATATATGTAATCGCTTTCCTCACCTGCTGAGCTCAGGAGTTTCCTATACAGTGTTGGAGTAGGAATATATGTAATCGCTTTCCTCACCTGCTGAGCTCAGAAGAGTTTCCTATACAGTGTTGGAGTAGGAATATATGTAATCGCTTTCCTCACCTGCTGAGCTCAGAAGAGTTTCCTATACAGTGTTGGAGTAGTAGGAATATATGTAATCGCTTTCCTCACCTGCTGAGCTTAGAAGAGTTTCCTATACAGTGTTGGAGTAGTAGGAATATATGTAATCGCTTTCCTCACCTGCTGAGCTCAGAAGAGTTTCCTATACAGTGTTGGAGTAGGAATATATGTAATCGCTTTCCTCACCTGCTGAGCTCAGAAGAGTTTCCTATACAGTGTTGGAGTAGGAATATATGTAATCGCTTTCCTCAGCTAATTATAGAAGTTGTAAAAAAACCAATGAAAATTTCCTGAATTTTCCTCCGTAAATATCGCCCACACATGTAGTTGTGCACCATGTGCATATTTTCTCTATCATCAGGTTCCCATTGAGACCTGTACTAACGAGGGGGAGTTGAATATGAGGTCCGAGCTTGTCCGAGCTGGAGTGACCAATTTGGCATGCGGTGCATCGGGGGGAGGAGTTTGTTATATGAGTTTATCACCAACACGATTGAATGAAGATGCAGGTGATCGGACCTAATTTGTATCTTATGTGGTCAAGCTAAAGATTCTCGGTTATTTCAGGAGGAGGTGCCTCTCGACTCTCACTGGTGTTTTCTATGTTGACCTCAGCCGTGTGGTTGGTATGTGGAGGGACGGTGTTGGAATTTATCCCCAAGCCATGGGCGGCTGGGATGCTGCTCCATCTGGCGTTCGGGTAGGTACCGGAAGGTCCCGGGTTCGAATCCTGGTAGGGGGTTCCGTTAGAAAGCAAGTGAGAGTGTGATGTTATCGATCGAAGCATCGGCTGTGAGATCGAGATGCTTCCAGCCATAACCGTGGCATAGTTAGTGTGATCGAACATGATATGTGAACCTGTGGCTCAAGAGGAGATCCGGAGGGAGTTCGGGCTTCGGGTCCTCACACTCCCAAATTGAGAAAATGAGGTCATGAAATTCCAGATGTTGAGTTTTCGATCAGGATAATTTCGTGGCGCGCGGTAATTATTTTCCTGTTCAGATATATATTAGAAGGGGCGTGGGATCCTCGACAGGTCCTCACTCGTAGCGAGTTCGTTGTGATACTCCTCATCACGATAGTCTATATTGTGAAAGGGATGGTCACTTCTATTCTAGTTGGATGTATACTATGCTGCATGTACTACTAGTAGTAGTAGTAGTAGTGGTAGTAGTAGTAGTAGTAGTAGTAGTAGTAGTAGTAGTAGTAGTAGTAGTAGTAGTAGTAGTAGTAGTAGTAGTAGTAGTAGTAGTAGTAGTAGTAGTAGTAGTAG